ATGCCAGAAAACGCAATGGGGAGATAAATAAAAAATCTTTCGCATTAAAATGGTTAAATAAATAAAACTGGATATTGTTCTCCTGAAGAGAACCAGAGTTTTCCGATCGAAAAATATTGATTTTCAAAAGAATTCCATACCATTTCCACGAAAAGTTGGTTTTTCCCATACAAAATACATGGAAAACTTTGAGCGCTTTGACCGACCTCTAAATATTTTTAGATTTCAAAATTAAAAAATAGGTGTATACTTTTTTTCGATATAGAACAATTCAGGGGGTGAGAGCATTAAAATTCCGACTTTACTTATTTTGTATCACCCTATAAAAAAAATACATCTGTGGATATAACATAGGCAGTTACAACTGTACTACAATCATGCTTGCCGTTTTTGTTTATCATTTAGTTTTTATTTCCTTTTCTTGTGGTAGCATGATGCATGCGGCAACACATTAAAAAACATTGCCCTTACTGCCATTGCCACCTGCGGCGTTAATTTCATTTTCTTGTCTCTGCCAACACAGTGCCGCACACAAATGTACATTTATATGTATTCACATGTGCAACCTTATGACCATTAACCTGCCATTTGCTACAAGTATGTAGAGGCTACAAAATGTTGCAAATGTTATTATTGCATGCAATTAATTAAACTTTCAACCCAAGATATACATACATACATACACATTTACATATATTTGCTTACGCCCATACATACCTGCCTACACATACGTACGGTAAATCTCAGTAAGTTTTTGTGTTTTAAAAATAGTTTCAAGTAAGCACAAGCAAATGTAAATAGAAAGTTATTTACATAACTTGCGCTACTTTCTACGTACGAGTAAGTACATATGTATGCAATTTAATTTACAACTTCGGTCATTTCCGTCTTCCTTCTTCCTCTTCCTTTCATTTTACACAGACGCTTGCCGATAATTACGAACATTTGTTTGCTTGCAATAAAACATTAGTTAGTTTGTGAACTGCGTCAACGTTGAAATTAAATTTTACATCTACTTTCTTGTAACCCACTCCCTCTGCGCCGTTATTTACCTTTTACTCGTATACCTCTGATCGGTAAGTATATACGTAAGTATGTGCTTTATTTGCTCAAGAAATCATAGGCAATTATTTGCGCAATAAATATTACCAATTACGCACGAACACGCAATTTGCCACTAAAATCAAATAATGACTATATTTTTGATATAATTAAAATAAGGGAAATGATAAGTAGTGAAGGGGATTCAGCTAGATTTGAATAAAAATTGTAAGGTATGTTAGTATGTATGTATGTAGGGATGACTAGAATATAAACAAGCACTTAGTTGCATGTTTCGAGGCATTTCAAAACATTGATTTGCTGCAGCTCATTGGCCACTGTACCTCCCATGTAACAGTAGTTCCAACAACTACATACATACCGCGATATTTTAGTAAACTAGGGGTGCTAGTTACTGTCAGAATTCGACATTTCTTCTAGTTTTTTTAAGACCCTTGGAGAGGTTTTTTAACTGAGCACGTCGTTACATACACATTTAGTACAAAATTATTATTATAGCTGCATAACTATCCGTAAATTTCGCCATCTAAATTTCTGTCTCTATAAATTGACATTGATCAATTTGAATAAATTTATACGTTGCGATAACTCAATAAACATAGATATCTCGACAAATTTATTTATTATATTGGTCTTCAACTTTGCTTCTATCTCTCGTGCGATGACGTAATTAAATGTTATATGATGTGATATTGGGTAACGCTATGCGATGTAATGTCATGTGTTGTCATATCATGTGATGCCATGTCATATGACGTCATATCATGTGATGCCATGTCATGTGATGTCATATCATGTGACGTTATGACATATGATATCCTGCTATGTGATATCGTATTATGTAATGTCATATAATAAACGATTGAAAATCGATCAATGTATCGATATTATATCGATAACAATATGGATTATTATACCGATAACAATATCGATTATTATGCCGATAACAATATCGATTATTATACTGATAACAATGCCGATTATTATTATCGATAACAATATCGATGACAACATCGATTATTCTAACGATAACAATATCGATCTTCATTCTCATCTTCTTCATATTTATATATATTTTTCTACAAATTTTTTCTAAATTTCGAGTTTTTTTATCAGAATTTTTACAAAATTTTTGAGTATGCAGTTAACAGGCCAATACAATTTTAATAAAACCCGTGCAAATTTTAGGCGGTTAAAGAATCGAATTAATTGTTAATATTTTTTTTTACGCCGTTTTGCACTTTTTCCATATAAACATGAATTTCTTGTGGAAGAATATGCGCAAAACCGTTTTCGAAAGCAATAAAAAAGTCAACGCCAGTTTTCTTAAAATTCGCTATTTTCATGCAAAAAACGCAAAAGCCGCCAGCAAAAAAAAATATGTTACAAATCAATGCGATTTTTAGTTGATAAAAATTTTGGTTAGAAAACTCTAATCTTAGATAAAAATTTGTGAAATTTTTCTAAATTCTGTAGAAAGTTTGAAACCACGATTTATATGATTTTGGTTAAAGCATGAACCATTTTTTTTATAACAATAACAAAAAAATATTAGCTTGAAAAACATTGTAAATATTAAAAACAAAACACCAGTCATCCACTTTTGACCGCCAGTGTAAACCTACTTATTCGAATACCATATAGACGATTTTTTCCGTCCGACTTCTTGAATGAAAATCCCAAAAATAACTGTTGGTTGCGATGCCTGGTGTTTTAATCAAAAATTTACAAAGAATTTTAACTAAAAAAAATTGTGAATATTAAAAAAACCCTAGTGAGCGATCCTTTGAGGCACTGTACATAAAAAAGTTAAAAAAAAAACTAGTCGATATTTATTACATCAGTTAACATAGCGTTTTTACATATGCCAACGTGTGAGCTTACGCTTAACTCCAAATAAAAGCTATACATTATCATATATTTACTTTGTTACCGCTGGGCTTCGTTTTTATTGCTTAGTGCTTTGGATATTAACGCTACTTAATACTTTGAATTTACAACTCATTGCGCGGGGACCGCAATATTATAAACGTCTGACACACGCACAGATATTGCTCCAAAACTTTTTTCCTCGCTTTACTTGTAATCACTGCCGTGAACGTTGCATTTATGTAATTGCGGCATGCCACAAGTCCATTTAACGCTTACTTACAATGCATATTGTTGTTACAGTTGTTGCTTTATGTATTGTTAATCTCATTGTGTAAGCACATTTGCTAGCCAACAGTCAGCTCCTGGGAGTTTAGGCATCGCCTGTGGTTTGCGCATACCCCATTTGGCTTTGTTGTTTAAACCAAGCGCCTGCTGTTGTTGGCGACATGCAACGTGCTTTGCATACCGGCCACCGACTATTTAACTAAGCCTTTACTGTCATGTTTTTGGCATCATACCACCACCCCCATTCCGGTTCCGCTCCCACTGTGTCCCATTTGCTGCTGTCATTCGTTTTTATTAGTCGTTTGTTCAGTGTTGTCATTTGCGTTCTTTTGCGTGTAACGCGTATTTGCGCACACGTACACAATTGCTCAGCAATAATGGGCGGCGAGGCTATTCTCACATAAACCATATTAAGTATTTGTTCGTTGCCATTGTTGTGCATATACATATCCTTTTGTTTAACACCGCTTGCGTTGACAACACTTAGTCATTATACAATAACTGACATTAGCACTTTATAATTCATAATTGCTAAAGTTTACAAATAACGTGCAAGCACGCACGGCTACTAAAAAGCACAAAATGACTCCTACGTACACATACATCCATATTTGTTTACTTATTTACAAAAAAACATTTGAATCCTTTATATGATTGGGCCTTTTTGGCTCATAAAATTATGTACATATGTATATAAATTAGGCCCATTTCGTATTTGCTACTGCCACGAGTCAGTGATTTGGTTTAAAAATAATAGGCGTTGGCGGTAGAATAAAAATTAAATTGCGGGTACTTTCAAAATGATAAAGTTTTCCTTGGTGGCACAAGTATTTATATAAAAATGCGTTTCTTATATTTCGAGATAAGCCAGCTTTTGCCCCTTGAGGGACTTTTCTTCCATCAAATTTTTTATCATCATGGCCGAAGCAAATAAGCAAGAAAAACGCAATTTTAAGCGCTTAGATAAGCACTAAAACATTAATTAATATGCTCGAAAAATAACAAAAAATGTAAATAAGTATAGCTTAATGTTTTGTTTCTATTCAGTTTATCTAAAGGAGTGCTGCTCAATCGTTTAATATTGAAGTGAAATTGCAATAAATATAAAAAATTTATTTGTACACTGAGTTATTTTTTTGTAATTTAAAAAAAAAGCTTAAAATTACAAGTTTATTTTTATTGTACGTTTAGTGAATAAAAATTGTTAACAAGGAGAGTATTTACATATATGTAGCTGAGAAGTTCCAAAATTTAGTGGGAGGAATCCGTGCACATATTTACATCAAGTAATATTTCTTCATTCGTGTAATAATTACAAAGCACAACATACACTACGCTTTGCAACAAAACTCGAATGTTAAATGATAAATACATTAATACTATCCTTCTAATCCTACTAATATTATAAATGTTAAAGTTTATATATACAGATAGTTTATAAACTGGGTTGAAAGATATGCTATTCTCTTAAATTAAAATAAATGAATAAGTTCAATCAAATATTACAATACAGGTGTCAAACGAAAAAAAGTTTATGAGAGCTTTAAGCACAGATACATAAGTTGAACACTTGAAATCGTAGTGCGGAATTCTACTGCTAGGGCTTCGTGTGAGCTGAGCGAAAAACGTATATTAAACAAAAGTCGAATGATAAATGATAATTTTAGTAAATATGTATGGTACATGAAATTAAAATGTCATTTATTTATGCATATCCTTCTAAACCAAACAATTTACTTTTATCCTGAAAAATTTTATAAAACATTTTTTTATTTTTTCAGGCTCCCTCGAAGGTGCATCAAAACGTTTCTTCACTGATTTCTTGCAAGACTTGCCTACACCCGGCACTGGGGGACCCTCATTCGACACAACTGTGCAAACGAATATTACGGGTTTGGTCGGCAAAACAGTGAAGCTTACGTGTCGAGTAAAGAACTTAGGAAATCGAACAGTAAGTAGAAAGTTATATCTATTTGTGTAACTATAAATCATATAATACAATTTAAAAAATTTGCATTAAGCACTACACAACTACCATTAAATCAGTGTGCCCGCCGGAAAATTGTATGACTGCCATTTATTTATAATTTATTGGAATTGTTGTACTTATTTGATGTATAACCTTTGTGAAAACACAAGATTCTAAGGTAGCGGCCATCGTGGGAAAGTAGTAAGATATGCGTTCGACTACTCTTTAGGACCCAGATTTTATTTGTTCCCTAGCGAAAACCTTGATGTGTGTATCTGCCCTAAAATGGCTTCTAATAATAATCAAACCGTTAGAAGACGACTGCAATGGTGGAAACACACAATGTATCTAAGCTCTCTGCCACTTTCTGGACTTCCACTTTGCCATAAAAATCAATCGATTTGCTTAAATTAATGCGGCGGACTGCCTTTTGACAAAATATGTCTGAGGACTTAATAACGCTAAGTAGGAAATAAAGATTAAATAATTGATTAAAATATTGCTGTTGTTTACTTTTAATTTTTCCAATTTATTTCTGTATGATTTTATTGTAGGAAATAAGTTCCGGATTTGATCTACACAAGTCGTTGTAAAAGTTGAAAAAATTAGTATTCCTACTCCAATTTTCAATTTTTCAAGCCCATTTTGCAGACTGAATATGAATATATTTTCGCAGAGAACCAGGAATTATTTTCTAGACTAAGGTATTAAAATAGCTCCTTTT